AGTTTGTAAGCTTCTCAGTATGTCACCTCAGTATTATATGGATCCCACTTTAAAAATCTTATATATAATAGTACAGTTTGTAAGCTTCTCAGTGTGCCACCTCAACATTATGTGGATCCCACTTTAAAAAATGTGAAAAAGTGTCGAATCTATAGTTTGAACTCGGGTTATTAAGATAACATCACTAACATTCATACCACTAAACTAAAATATAACTTGTACATTGATGGCTGAAACTAATATATATTTATGAAAGCTAGAAGCTCTTTCTTCTTTAAAGGTCGAACCTATAAGTGTATTATGGGTTTCATTTTTAATTGGATTTCTTCACGTTATATGAAGAAACTCCTCAAGTTTACAACAGTTATAGTTTTTCCATATTGTAAATCGTCGTCATTTAACATGAGTTAAGATTCCTTTATTCCTCGTCTCAACCAGGTTCTGAGTTACAGATCTGCACCGTGTGTCTATTCGTAATCTATTTTTTCACCGGTGAAGTTTTCATCTCCCCATCTTACATTGCTTGATCATAAATGTTCCTGATTTGTAGTCCCTCTATGAGCCCTATCTATATGATTATCATCGTTGATGAACTCATCGATTCCTCTTAACTTTAACCATCTTCTAGAAAATATCTCTCTCTGCTTCTTCAGTTCTTAAAACTAGCGTCATCGACGTGCGTCATGCAACTTTCGAGTATCTCTATCATGTTAAGGTAAATATAAGCCATACCAACCAAATTAACATATAGAACCTCAAATCATTCAGTATGGGTCTTAGTAAATGAAACTAATAACAATAGAAACAAAGTCATACAACAAATTCAAACCTTCTTATTTTAGGTACCAAGAATGCCGAATCAACACAGGTTCACTGAGTAAGGAATGCGGCGGAAACAGCCTTAACTGAGATGAGCAAATCTCTCTTCTATGCCGCCATAGAACTATAATTTCACAAACTGGCACACTAAAAACTCAATCAGACCAAAAATCACGAGAGCTTGTCACACTACTGAAGACGAAAAGGAGAAACAAAAAGGGTGAGTAAATGGTTATTCCAGTTTCAGTTCTAAATTAAGACTCAAGGGTCATCGAATTTCAAGCACAATCATATAAAAACCCAGCTATTACGTTTTCATTGTTAGAATATAGACCTATACTTCTTTAAACTTTTTAATCCACCATTTCTACTTTTTAAACTACCACAAAATATTTTTGACAAATAGAAAAAATGCAACTATCTTAATCATACAGGTATTTAACTATATGAAATTATAGCATTATAAAACTATAATTATATATTTTTCAAAAATATGTCCTGGCGCATTAAAAAAAACAAACTTTATTTCTTTTTGGATAACAATTTTTTTTCTTCTTCGCTCCTATATTAGAGTTGTATATTAACAAATACTTATGTTTGGCTACATATAGTTATTTAATTGCTAATAATGTTAAGATCCGATTAAATCGTACAAAAAAATGTAGAAATACGAACATGTATCAATTCGTTAAACACTCTTATCTGCAAATAAAAATAGTTTTTTTACTCACTAATAAATATTAACCCCTAAACATTCTGCACAATCCCTTAACAACCATGTTTCACCTTTCTTTATTCAATCCATTAATTTTTTAAAATAAATAATTTTTTTTTTTCAAAATGCCAATTCACTATTTAACAATTATATACTATCCTCGACATGAAAGCACTAATAACACAAATATTCGAAAAAATTATTACTAAAATAGTCTATGAATATTTCAAAGCATATGAACTCTCACTCATTCGTATATCAACTCAATTCAAACGGATTTCGGATCAATCCTGAACAAAAAATGCCCCAAAACAAATGACAAAATCCCATCCATAAAATATTACAATACATCATCACTGTCTCCGGCCCCGCGCTTGCGCGGGGGCTATGGACCTAGTGGACATAATATGATACTAGATGATAACCTGCGCCCATGCGCAGAGTGAAATTTTTATACTAATATTTATTTATTAAATGGTTTTTAACTTTTTGCAATACTACAGTATTTATCGATTATAAAATGATGAATACAAATGTTGGTATCTTAAATTATCATAGGTCTGGACGTTTGAGACTTCGTTGGTTTTGGTTTGATTGAGACATATTTTCAGATTGAAGTTTTTATACTAATATTTATTTATTAAATGGTTTTTAACAGTTTGCAATACTACAATATTTATCGATTATAAAATGATGAATACAAATGTTGGTATCTTAAATTATCATAGGTCTGGACGTTTGAAACTTCGTCAGTTTTGGTTTGATTGAGACATATTTTCAGATTTTGGTATTATTCTCATAAATCCTATTTGAATTTTACTAATTATCGGATTGGATTCGATTTGATCTTTTCAATTCAGTTTGGATTGGATTGTAACCAATATCTGAAATTATCCCAAAAAATATTTTTTAAACATGAAAAGTTGACAAAAAATTCAAAATATTTAAACT